GTATTAGAGAATCCTGCAGCCACGCACTCTCACTCCATCCACTCTGTCAATAGACTAGCAGCAGCAGCAGCAGCACCGCGGCTACACAAACTACCGTCTCGTATCCCGTCTGTCCTCAGAGATATCCTGAAGCGGCTACTTGAATTTTACACACGAATAACTTGGAGTTGGAATTTGACGGCAGTAATGGAGACAGTCAGTCAGTCACTCATTTACTTTTGCAATTTCTGATGCTACGATTTTCTAGCTAATTTCTATATTTTTTTTAAGTTGCTGTGCGTTTTTCAAAACTCTTTCACTTTTTTAGTGGAATGGAAAACTCCCATGCATTTTGGTGTTTTATGTTGGTGTGTGTGTGTTCGTGTGTGTATGAGTATTCGAGTAGGTATGCTACACGCTTGCTTTCAGCGATCTATTCACTTTAGTACACAGCTCACTCTCTGCATTACCACACTGATCCAGTTAAGTTGTACTGCTCCACCTCGTTGGAGTTCTGTAAAGAAATAAGAAAAAATGTTAATTTATTTTAATAAAAATCTGGCACTGATTAATTATAGGCAAAAGGTTTACTTGAACGTTAATGGCAAGTATTCTTGAGATGCTAAGATGTTCCATAAAACTCGTTTATATGTATGTGCATATAAAGCAATTATTAATTAACCCAATGCAAATAGGCACCCACGCATACACCCAATATACGCAGAATATATTTTTAACACTTAAATAATAGCCAACATTTTCAAGGGTAGTCCACGAACTTCTCCTGGGCCACTCTCGCACTCTCCCACGCGACGACACTGTGACGTTGTTGCACTGCACGCAATCCATATTGAATCAAACTTATCCAACAGTGGTTGAAAAAAAAGTGAGTTGCAGCATTAATAATGTGGCACTCGTAGAAGTTCGTCGAATGCATTGAATTCGTCGATTGCATTGCATTGCATTGAAGTGAATTGAATTGAATTGCTGCATTGACAAAGCGGAAATTATAAACGCAACAACTTGCGGGGGCCTTCGAGGCTCGAGGCAGCAGCCACTCAACTGTTAATGAACAAAGTTTCAAGCACAGCAGCAAAGAGTTTTAATGTGATGAGTGATGAATATAAGTGGGATGCATATTTTATACATAGAGTGGGAGGGGGGGGGGGGGGGCCAATTGGAATACGCATATATACATATGTACAAACTGCTATGTGGATTGCAATATGTAAGTATTTACTACACCTTAATTACATGCTGATAGTAAGTAAATTCAGAAACGGAGAAAGTTTCTCCGAACTCAATTGAATGTCCATTTACAAATTAATTTTCATTTGCACATGTATGACGGCTCAAACAAGAGTTTCTCAAAAATTATTTCTGGAAAAAATAATCCCACACTTAATAGTCCTAAATGCCCAAGCAAGCCAAGCTCTTTATGTATGTATGTAGCATAACTTTCCTTTTCCTACGCTGATCAAGAAGTCTTGATTCTGTGCAATCTGCCAAGTCTGTTTATCAAACCCTACTACTAAATACTTGTATTCCAATCAGCTCAAGAAAGCGCCTATTAATTTCTATTTGAACCATTCCATGAGCACTGGCACTACATAATTTACCACCGAACGGGCCAACGCCTTGTCCGTTGCCAGCACGATTCCTTTATCTGCTTTCCAGGTGCTGCTTGTCTAGCATAATCTCATCGGTTTTCCTTTTTTCCTAATTTTTAATTGAGATTTCAATTCAGTATTGTTATAATTCGGTTCTTAACCCTATTTTTTAACCTTACGATAATATCCCACTATTCACCCGAAATCGTCAAACCAAAATTAAAACTACTTTGATAAAATTTCATTGAAAATTCTAGCTAAATTTTTACATAATTAATGCATATTGTGTTGGTTGTAGTGCTTCCCGATTTTCCACTCAAGACAACAATTATCGCATTATAGCGCCACTTTGTTGTACTAATCATGGCCACATTTCTATGCAGTTTTATCAAACCATTTTGACCTGATGCATTATGCACTGTTTCATCGCTGCCATTCAACCAGCAGCTTCGACATTTTCTGTTGCATGGAAGTCCTATTCTACAAGTCTGTTTTTCTAAAGGCCAATGAGCAGTGATTCCACCTCTGCCCATGGTCTACTACGTGTTATCTTACAAGTCCGCATCTTTTACCACATCTTTCCTTGCTTGTTTCAGATAGTTAAAGTGGATTTCTGTTTGTATTTGTCTGGAAGCGTATCCCAGTACCACCGCTACGAATTGATGTAATCAAGTTCTCGCCTTGTCCGATTCCTCTTCTCTCTCGTTTGCCGCTATGTTCCTAGCGGCGGAAACCCAGAAAAGAGACATGGGCATTGCATGAGTCTCCATGCGCAACGTCGTCATTCATTCTTTGTCTAGCTTAGACTTGGTTTCAGTAAATAGCTATCTGAGTAAATCGCTGCTCTACTCTTCCAAGTATCGCTAATAGTTTGCGTCGGCCTAACATATATCCAGAACTACAGCTTGCAATATACTGATATTGTTTTCCAGTTATCGGGACCGATTAACACCAAGCTCTAGGGAAAATCCTTCTGTCCAAACACTATAGTCTATCTCGTAGTCATCAGTGTAGATACAAATGACTTCCTTGTCAGTAGCACAATTACATCCAAGCCACAATCTAGACTTGGTACCATGTAGCCCATTTGGCTTCTTTGCTATCGGACTATTGGTAAGAAATAAACTATGCTCAAAGATATTCATTTTATACAGCCCTGCCCGACTTTCTGAGTAAATCGAGAGTTCCGTTAGGTACAGGTAAAAGGAATCATATTAAGAACAACATACAATGCTTCTGAAGGGCAAGTTTTCAGGACGCCGGTTATGCCGGAACATACCGCACTTTTTAGTCAACTGGCATTAAGTTTCTCAAAAGTCGGAAATATTAAAGGTCAAAACAATAACTTTAGTTGCTGGTTGAGTTTAGTGATTAGGGCATTTCTAAATTGTGGTATTTCGTTCCATTTGCCCTGATCTAAATTTCAATATTTAGTACACCAGTTGGGTACTTCAAATCCAATATTCAAAGTTACGATTAATACAGCAGCCGAAAAATAGCGGAGCTTGCCGGGGTCAGAATTAGGGTCTTCTCATGGATAATTCGATTAGTGGATGGGCGCTCTATAAATCGTTATGGCATAAGCTTCACTGAGTTTGCAGATCGTTACATACTGGCTGTAAAGAACGACCAGCGAACTTTTTTACTCAGATACCGAGGGAGAGCTTTTTGACTAACGAGAAAAACTTTTGATTGGTGTCACCGTATAAGAGAGCACAGATTTTCAACCAACAACATGGTGTATAACCAGTGTTGCCGTTTTGATACATATGTATCCAATTGGATAGATTTTCGCCTTAAATTTTGAGGGATACTTCGTTTTTTCCTCAGTTTAAATTTGGATACCTTTTCCCATAAGTATTCGTTAGTTGAATAAAATTATTTTTAATTATGTTCGAGCTATTATAACATTTTTAACAGTTGGCTGCTCAGCCTCCAAGTAAAAAATTTTCCTTTATTCTTGTCACTATGAAAAATTAGTTTTTTTAGCCACATAAACGTACATTTAATAACATCAAGTAGGTTGCAAATTTTAAAAAGTTTTCCGACCTGTAGTAGTTAACTGTAAAGCGAAAAAATCAACTTTTACACCTCGAGCAACCCTTCTCTTAGCAATCAAAGGAAATTGACAACCATGCCGATGACTAATTTTCAACAACAACTTGACTGTATTAAAAATAACTTATAACTTCTAAATTTTCAGTTATATGTCGTTAAACGAGAATTCAAACAAGCCGGAAATAAGAAATTTTTCTTGAAGGCGGAATTTACAGACAAATACAAGTTTTTGAGAAAATCTTTAATTTCATAGATAGCTCCCAATCCACCAGTTTGATTAAAAAAACATTGTAACCATAATAGCAGGAAATAACAATTTACTGAACAAAATATAACCGGTCAAAATTAGTTCAAATTAGTATTATTTTGATAGACTTGGAAACATTTTTTTGATGTATTATTTGTGGGAACCTAATCCTAGTGATAAACATCGAACATGCGGAAAATTTGGCCCGTAGTTGTAGTCAGTACTTTGCCATCCTTAGACACGGGTTTGGGAAGCAAAGGCCCGTTGTTATAGTCAAAATGAAGTTGACAATAAAGTTAGTTGCAGTTTTTTGACAGGTATCCCCCATTGAAAAGTATGTCAAAAAGCTGCAATTAATTTTAGATTCGACTTAATTTTGACTATAACTACGGGTCTCTGTTTCCCAAATCCGTGACTAAGAATGGGAAAATACTGACTATATGTTAATAAGTTGCTTAAGGAGCCGAGTTTCTCTTCGATAGAGGTACTATGTAAAAATGTCCGCTCTTTTCGGTGGATACATTTGGATACAGTTTCCGATTTTTTTATGGATACTTTAAAGGCTAAGGCAGTGGCAACACTGTGTATAACTGTAAAATCCACAACGTCTATCTGATACTGTCAAGGGAGTATTTTAGGCTAACAAATAGGTATTAAAATTTAGGTCACAACCTAACACCAACTGCTTGTTATGATCAAATTCTCTTCCGTATGTTGTCACCCCATTTAATTTCATTTCATTCCATTACTGTTATCGCGCATTTTTCAATTTGTTAATGAATATTACGACCATTTATACTGGCAGCATTGTTTAAAAAAAACTGCTTCCTCCACAATTCACCACTTTATACATTTCCATAGCCATTCGTCATTATTTCCGTTGATAATCGCAATTATTTATAGATCCATAGTACCTGTCGGTGCTATTTCCCCCAACATTTAAGCCGCTCCACTGGCTAGCCGAGTGGCTGTTTGCACGCGTGACTATCCGCTACCCGCTATCCTTAATCTCCCATGCGCATATTAAATGCATTTAATAATGTTAAGTGCCTCCTCCCATGCGGCAACTATCGGGATACGCCGTCCGCTGTTACTGTGCACCCCACGTCCTGGTTTCACAGGGACCACAGTTTAGTGTCGCTAGTCTGGCCGTGCAGAAGTGCTGCTCAGCATTAGCAAAAATAAAAAAATATCTGCCTAGCGGAAAATGAAGAAAATGGCGCAACAGACGGTGCAACCGATACTGGTGCATTTTGGCAATTTATTTTTGTTGTGCAAAATACTTGGCCTCTATCCGCACGACCTGCAGGCATTCCGACGCACGCACACACTGCAAAGTAGTAAAATTGGCACTTTTCTTGTGGCGGTCACCATGATTGTGGTTGTCGTCTTCTACAATCTGCTAATATATTCCTTTTCTGAGGAGGATCGCGACTTGAAAGCAACGCAGAGTGAGTAACTGAAGTGCATCAAATTTAGCTTGTTTTATAAAGGATTCACATATCCGCTTTAGGTACATTGACTTTCGTTATTGGCATCTTTCTCACCTACATCGGTCTCGGCATGATGCTCACCGATCAGTGCTCAGCGCTACGCAATCAATCGAAAATTGGCGAACTGTACGAACGCATTCGCGCTGTCGATGAGAACTTGCTCAGGGAGAATATCTTTGTGGATATCTCAGCGACATCTAAGCGCATTTTCATAATGATCGCGCTCACTGTCGTCTGTGAATTGACCATTTTACTCTCCACCTACATCATGCTGGTTGATCACAGTGAATGGATATCGCTACTATGGATATTCTCTTGCTTTCCCACTTTTTACAATTCGTTGGATAAAATTTGGTTCGCAATGACTTTGAGCGCTTTGCGCCAACGTTTTTGTATGATCAACTCTGCTCTGGAAGAGATGGTGGAGTCACACGAGAGACTTCAGCGTTGGATGGAAAATGGTGCGGATGGTTCGGCTTTTAAAAAGCCTTCTTTTACGAATGTACCTTTCGATCCATCACTGGAATACTTGTATAAGGAGCTAACCCATATGGAACCGGTGAAGGCGTTTAGCTACGGAAAGAATAGAATATCACCAAGTAAGTGGGTTAGGTTTGTGATCTTTGCATGAGAATACGCCTAAGTTTGGACTCCACTGGTGTATATGTAAGTAAATTAAGCTCCAGCCTAAAACTTTTCACCGAAACTTGCGTTGGAGCTTAACCTCATATTTTTTGCTTAAGGCCCAGTATTTCCTATGGGCGCAAAATAATTTCCAGGCAGAAAACACTTTACAAATCCTTAAAGATTTTATATACATAATTGTATTCAGTAAAATAAAGCTGAAAATTTCTTGTAAAATCACATACTTAGTTACTAAAACATGAGTTCACTTCTTCTCTTCCCCCCTCTCAGTCGCTCACTCCTTAAACTCATTCGGCGAGGGCTTCGAAACACCCAAAAAGCAACCAAAGCCAAGCAGCCAACCGCCGCCATTCAATATGGTCTACGAAAGCGAATTGAACGGCGACATTCAAAAGGTGGAGGAGAAATTGAACAATCTGTGTCAGCTGCACGACGAGATTTGCGAAATTGGCAAAGTACTGAACGAGCTCTGGAGCTATCCGATATTGGTGCTAATGGCCTACGGATTTCTCATCTTCACGGCACAATTGTATTTCCTCTATTGCGCCACGCAGAATCAGGTAAATAACTGGCTGACGCCCATTGCCGCCCACCACTGACTCAACTATTTTCTACATTTTATTTATTTCCATACAAACGCATACATACATACACACAAACACCAGGTCATTCCATCACTATTTCGCTCGGCTAAGAATGCCATCATTACGACAATTTACTTGAGTTACACCGCCGGAAAGTGCATCTATTTGATTTACCTCAGCTGGAAGACGTCACTCGAATCGAAACGTACTGGCATTTGTCTGCACAAGTGCGGCGTTGTGGCCGATAATAATTTGCTCTATGAAATCGTAAGTGCCCACTTTTTATGGAGTGGTTGGCCACTTTACTGTGCCGCTCCCTCACCTAACCACCACATCCTCCCCTCCCCCCCCTCATTATTTATATGCATTTGCTGAATACTGAATTGCTGCTGTTTTGTATGTATTTTTTCTTCTTCTTCTTCTTCTATTTTGTGTTTGCATTCACCTTTTCGGTTGCATCCGCTTATGCAAAATAGGTCAACCACTTATCGCTCAAATTACTGAATCACTCAGTGGACTTCTCGGCTTGCGGTTTCTTCACGCTGGACATGGAGACGCTCTATGGTGTAAGTGTGGAAGGAAGCTCAGCAAAATTCTCTGTGTACAATTATTAAGCTCAATATGCATTGATCTCGTTGTTGTTTTGTTTGTGCGTGTGCGTGCGTGTGCGTACTTGCGTGCTTGTGTGTATTTGCAGGTGAGTGGCGGCATTACCAGTTACCTCATCATTCTCATACAATTCAATTTGGCGGCGCAACAAGCCAAGGACGCCATACACAACTACGATGATGAAAGCGATAGCCTGGTGCCGACCACCGCCGAAGGAAATACAACAACATTTTTGGATTTTTTTACGACCACTTTTATGCCCACCGCTTAAACGTGCAAATATGTACATGCATACATATGTATGTATTAGTGTAGGGCGTGGCAAACGGCACTCATTGCCTTGGAAAGTTTTTGAGTTATTTATTGAAAGTGAATTGATATTAATATTGTTCATTTATATAAAATTAAGAACGATATTTTTTAAAATAATTATTTGATTAAAGTTTATACGAGTATTAATTGCATTAAAAAAACAAAGAAGAAGAAACGATTGCACAATTAATGTTCACATAAATCTACTTTAGTGGTTGCTGATAAGCCACACTTTTTTTTTGGATTGCAAAGTATAATAAATATATAATTCTTCTATAAAATCTTCTTTAAATTTATATCTATATTCATGTGTTCTGTATTCGTATAGCTGTTATTTGATGAAGTAAATTTACTAAAGATATAAAAACTTTGTGTTAACCCTTGAAAATAAAGCAAATAAATATTTCGCACTCGCATTTTTGTTAAGCATTTGTTGGAACTTCTCCACAAATGTACAGTTTTTTCATGGCAGAAGTACACCACACTCGGAGGCTTGCCATTGGATGCTGCTGGAACTAGGGATCGAACCCGAGTCTTGCCAATTTCTAATACGTACTTCCAATCTTACTTGGTTTCTTCTGAAGACTCTCAGAAGCTCCCTAAAGCACAGCATGCTTACAATACGGAAGATCGGTAGACACCGCCTGACACAAAGTTGCCACAGGGATAGAGGTGTCCTAGAGTTTGCGTTATAGTGTGGAGCACAAAACCCTAGAGTGCGCTTATTTCAAATCTTATAGCCGTTGGTCATACTCAGATTTACTAGATCAATTCATGTTTTAGAGAAAAAAAAAAGTTTTCGTGATTCAAAAATCACGGCGGACAAAATTTTGTTCTCCAAATTTTGAAAATTGCTCGTATGCAGAGTCACTCGGATTGGCCTTACTCAGAACTACACCGACGGTACCACTCTAAACACTGTTGTATCGTCCGCCGCCGGATCTAACGACAATGCATATCACGTTCGAAATAGCTAGACGTGTTAATGTCATGTGCAGTTTTTGTCTAGGTCTTGCGGTCACAGCAGTTTACCGTCAACAATTTCTGGACGAACAGACTACGCGATTCCGGAGCTTTTGGAACGAATGTCGAATGCTGGCGGGAGGCCATTAAGATAAATGGCTCGGTGCATGTGCCTGAAGATGGGTACAAACTGGACAAGGGTTTGGGTGCTGCAGTTTACTGGGCGGAATTTGAACTAATTTAAATTTTATAATCAGCCGCAGTATTGTTGTATTTTCTGGACAGATGCCTTAACCATAACATGGGCAGCGAAGTTATTGCGTCCTAACCGGATTCGTGAAAGGGTGAATCTCTATACTGACAGCCAGTAGATTTAGGCCGCCATGGCTGAATTATGTACTGATAGGAAGGTACGCATATTTTGGGTTCCGGACACATTGACGTTATTGGCAACGAGGTGGTATACGGACTCGCCAAGGAAGACAGTCTTTCGGCAGATTCACCAAACAAAAGTTGATTCCTGTTTGCCCAGAAAACTGCTAAGTTGTTCGATATTACTCTTAATACTAGGGATTAGCTAAGTTATGTGATAACTATGTGGACCTTAATTATATTTGCGAAGAAGCGCAGCTGAGCAAAACATGAACTTTCCCCATTGGTTAGAGTATTTATCAGCAGTCCTCAACAAAATACATATTAGTAAACTTACCACTTGCATTTGTACTATTTTTAGCCACACGCGTTACACTGTGGGTAGTGTTTGGCGGGTCTAACATATCCTAGCTCCAAACTCTTGAAGGATATTTCCCTTAAAAGAGATGAAACTTGCTGTCTACCACAGCTAGTATGGGACTTAAAAACTCGTTTGACCAAGAACGATTCTGAGATTTTATTTCTAATTTCTGTTCAACGGTATTTTACACAATCAAATGAGGTCTGTGGGGAATTCGATCGCTTCCTATTCATATCATTGGTATTGCAAGTCCCAAGCCTTCTTAGAGCTGGACATTCGCAAATTATGTGTTTCACTGTTTCCTCATAATAACATCACTCCCAAACTTGATGTTTTCCACTAAACATTTCTGGGACGCTTGCGCCGCCAGCGAGACTTATGTACACTGTTGGGAGTCATACTAGAAGTCTTGAGTTTTCTCTTTCTTCAAGCTTCTATTAAGGCAAACCAACCAGAAAATATATATGTATGTACATACATATATAAACGAAATAAAATTTTTAATTTCATGCAAATCATCTGCTGATGAATCGTTTGGTAACTTTTCATGATTATTTTAATTGCACGAGTACCTACCATTGATATGCAGCTCATGCCGAAAAGTAAATACAAAACTAAAGGATCCAATAATTAACAGACAATTTGCACATTTAATACATGTATTCGTTCTTGCACATACATACATATGTGCATACATACATATACGTTAATAAAATTGCACTGCTGTATTAAATTTGACCATCTTCGGTTGGCCACAGGATGCTACAAAGGCAACCTCAGCATAGCAGTAATGCCGCCACTGCTTACTGTCAGTACCGCAGCAGCATAGCCGTGCTAACCAACGTTGGCATTGCCACATATCAACATTTAAAATCATCTCATTATTTTGCATACATTTGCACTTTTACTACTTGTCCATCACAATTGTGTATTCATTAAAATGACCTCAAACACTTGAAGCATAATTACATTTTCGCTTCGTCTCTCTGCGCGCGGCGCTCTCTACAGCCTTTTACCAACAATTCCATGCAATTCAGCCTCATTCATGGGTGAGTGTGTGTGTGTGTGTGTGTGTTAGCCACCATCTCAACCATTTCAGTAACATGAAACTGTAAATTGAACAAAGTGAGTAATTATTCAGGCATTTGCGGTCGCCGCTTCACTTGTCCACCCTCAGCCAGCGCCCCCCTTTCACCATCCCTTGCATTGCCCCCCACTGCTGTTCACCCCTATTCATTACCAACGTCCCATAGCTCGTTGAAACACTTTTTCCTTCCGCTTGTTGCCATTGCCATTGCCGCATGCATCTATTAATGCAATTTACAGTTTTTGTCAACCCGAAATGTTTCGCTGCCCAACAAGCCGGTCTCCTATAAAAAAAAAAACAAATGAGTTCTCCGACTTGTTGGGTTGACTGCTGGCAACTGCTGGCTCGTCACTTTTTCATCGCCATCATCACAGCTTCATGCATAAATGTTTCGAATTAAAAGTTATTCCACGAAATGGCTCCAACACATTTGCGCTGGCGCGGGCATGAAGGTTCGCAGCGCATTGGCGCCGAAAGGGGTGTGCTTCGCTGAAATCGCTCACAAGCGAGTCATTTGCGTGTCCTTGTTCCTTCCCACACATTTCTATTTGGGCCATTTTGCAGCGCTTTGTCGGCAAGTTGCTATAAAAAAAGAAAACAAAACGCAAAAAACGCTGCATAGTTCGCAGTTAACGTCGGTGGTTTTTTGTTCCCTTCTGACGGCAGCGCGGCAGCGAAAGTTTAGTTTAGCAGGAAGCTTCGATGAAACAACAGCATTGCTGTGCGCGCCAAAATGTAAATGACACAGTTCTTCTTCCTCTTTCATCTCGTTGCCTTTCCAAGCCGTTTGTTCGTTTGTAAGGCAGCAAGTTAGTCATTAGCGCGGCGATGAGCAAGCGGGATGAGTATCGGTGAGGAGTCATAAAAAAGCGTGGTCGAAAGAGACCGGCAATGCCAGTATGGAGCAAGTATGGTATGCCATGAATTCTATATGCACTCGTTGATTAACATGAATGTCAAGTGTTCAGTAATGTCAGCGTTCATTTACGCCGCTCCCTGCTAATGAGACATCGAGAAGAACGCGCTTTTTGGCTAACACGTCAGCTCGTTCATTACCTTCAACAACTTTATATCCTGCGCCCACGTATAAGTGGACCTCCCTGGTAGCTACTTATAATCTACAATTAGAACCATAATTGCTGCCTTATTCTCAAACAAAACAAATATTATTTTATTTGTTTCAAGGTATTCTTTACCGTTGTACCTATCGCTACAATTTAGGCTTGATAAATACTTCCTTTAGCCTAAAAGACCTGAAAGAAATCCAGATCGGTTACTGAAACTAACACCCCGTTGTCCATAAAAGAATTGTCAGTGCCAATATTCATCGCATAATCTACCATCTACACCACAGCCTATTTTTAAATAAAAAATTTTTTAAGTAAACCCTGCAGTTTAAAAAATAGCTTTAAAAGCATACTCTCAATTTGATCAGCACAAATAGGCCGATTGGTGCTTACCTATACCAGATGGGGGAAAAATGTTGAGTGAATTTGATGCAAGACCTAATACAAAACCCTACTGCTGACACATCATCGAGCTAATTAAGTTGTGGACAGCCACACATAGGCGTTAATTGTCTTCCAAGATCTTCCTTGTTCCCATCTCTCGGCATTTCTTGCCTAAACTGCGTATGTGAGGCTGCATAAATTATTTTCTAGAGAGTAAAAACACTCCAATTTCAAAATGGTTCTCTTTTTTATAGAGCAATAGCATTTCTGGCTAGTATATTTCAGGACGAATGGATAAGGATTGAGCCAAGCGCTTGTCTGAGCAAATCCAATTTTCGGCAAAAAATATCAGATACGCGGTTTTGCAGAACGACGATAAGCGGTTTTGTACTTTAAACGACGATATATAACATTGTTGTCGATGTACATAACTGTATAAAAACTCCACAAAGAGTTTTTGGAGAATCGGCTGAAGTGGGCAGTCCTTGGCCAGACATACCAGATCTGGGCCACTCCGGTTACGAAGACCGGACTGTTGCGAGAACATGTCTAATGGGTCATCTTCATTTGTGCTCACATGGCTGGCCTGAATTATACGGCTAAGATTATTGGTTAACCGTCCCCATGTGGTGTACATGTCGTATGAGTGATATTTTACTTCAGTGATGAAGGCAAAACCCATGGGGAGCCGAAAAGGCCTTGAGCTGATGAATTTAATCTCAGTTTGCATTGCAGGTGTACACATACGCACATAAACATAAACCCTTAATAGAGTAAAAGCTTTGCCAGTTTTTGCTT